TTGATGAGTGTACCATGAGGACTGCCACGCCTCAAGCAAGGTACCCTATCAATTACAACTTTATTAGTTGGGTTGCGCTTACATCTCCTTGAATAGAGTGATTTTTTGTCATGTCACTTGTTAAAAGTCAAAGAGCACTGTGCTGATGTCAGAAGTAGCCAAGCATATTCGGCCTGCATGCATTAAATTTGAATAAATAAATAAATAAATAAATAAATAAATTAATTAATAAAATGAAAACAATTGCGTACGCACATTCGATGTTATGCGAAGCACATTGCGGAAACAGGAATAACATTCAACATTTTCTGAAGCTGCTCCGCTCGTTTTCACTTCCCTTCGGGAATAATTGCCACATCTTTAAAACGTAATTACAGCGTACACAACGCGTTTAGGCAATGCTACGAGGTGGTGACCGTGTTACTGGCAGGAATAATGCACATGGAGCCGACTCTTTAGATGGGCGTTATACTGTATACAGTGTGGACGAGCTAATCGACAACACAGCAGCAACGGAAGCTACCACGGTAAGCAAAGTCTGAGAAGCCTTTCATTTTAATGTACTTCGTTTTAACATTGGAGCTGGTTATGCTTATTGCTGGTACGTGTGGCATTCGCAAAAACTTGGTCTGGCTTTGCATAAATCAGGGGTCCCAGGCTCATCCTAGCTTGCGAGCCGCAGTCACAAAATTGTCTCCCGTAAGGGTGGAGAAAGTGCAGAAAGTAGAGCGTGGGAAGGGGCGGGGGGGAGAGGAGGAGTTGGCAAGCTTGCTTTGACCACATTTTCTTGTATTTAGAGTAAACTTGTGTTATTGCGTTTGTAAACTTGTGCCATTGCATTTTGAATGACATTAACGCCAAAGTACTTGATTACATTTCTGTAATGACTCAGTTGCTTTTATGAGGATTAATTGATCATTGTAATTAACTAAATTTTCAAGGAAGTAGTTTTATTTGCAGTCGATTGCTTATTCTCTCTGGCATGTGCAATTCTGTTTGTGCATGGAAACCATATGAGGTGTCTAAAAAAAAAGCACTCCGTACAGATAGTTAACCACTGAAGCTGAAACGTGCAGGCATAGGTGGTTTCAAACTACGCAGCCGACGCCAAAGTACCGCTCGAGAAACTCCCACCGAAAGCGGGCGTTGACCCCGGCGAACGCGTTCCCGCCATTGCTACGTTGACGTTGCCGTCGCGTCAACGCCGCTTCCTCGGCTCGCCGTTGTTGCTTGCATTCGGCCCGTAATTGGCTGCCGGATTCTCAATGTGCAGTAGATTCTTGCGATTTACCACCCGTGTCTATTATTGTGCCCAGCCTGTTTCATCGGCCCGGCGAAACTGAATTCTCTCACGGATCAACTGTCGGCGCTGTTCTTGGAAAGTTGTCTGTCTGCTGTTCGTGCGTTCGTACTGTTGCTGCCTTGCCCGTGTGGAAGATGTAGGTGGAAGATGAAGGAATGAACGACGTCACTGACCACGCAGTCAATGGCCAAGAAAATGCCGCTCAGAAAAATATGTGTACACGGGACGAAGACCGTAATCTACAGGCCTGCGCGGGCCGCAACCGCAAGCTTCGCGGGTCGCGTGTTTCAGACCCCTGACCTAGATTGTCTCATTCAAGGTTTGTTAAGCTTAACTAATTTTAACTTGACAGTTAAGCTTAATCTAGCTATTGATATCACGTGATTGTCAATCAATAACAGCTATTTGATAATCAAGTTACTACTGAATTCGAGAAACTGCTTTGTTGAGCTCAGAATAGCCAAAATTCATGGTCAGTACCCTGTTATTTCTGATCGACAGTCAATAAATAGCTAATTTATGACCATCCAATAACCAATAAATTCTAGAAACTTCATTGAGCTCATGCTAGCTTAAATTGCATGGCCAATACCTTGCAATGACCACTCATTAGCTAATCTATAATCGACCAACTACCAACACATTCTAGACTGCGCTTGGTTGAGCTTAGGCTAGCCCAAAATGTCTAGCCTATAAGGGACTTGCTAAAGCCCACAACAAAAAAGCTTAGCAAACGAGCATCACCTCGCAAAACTTAGCAAAACCAAGCATAACATTGTAATGGTGAGGACCAGCGATGCCGGTCAGCTGCGCTATTTTTCTAGCATAGCGCCGCTGTACAAACTTTTTTTTTTTAAGGTGACTATTAAACCCATGCATACGCAACAATATATTTTAGATACTGTTAATTTGTCTCCTGCGCTGTTGGATGCATGCGTGATTGCCATTTTTCATGCAATGTATATTGAAAGCACGGTATAATGAATGATTTACTGAAAACTGTCTTTGCTTGTGGCTGTATACGTCTTGTCACCATATTTCATTTCAGTCTTTTGATTCACTACGATAAGTGTACTATCAGGCGATAGCTCCTATAGATACCATGTAGTCAGCGCAAGTCACGAAATGAATTGTTAGCGTGTGAAATGTACTATCATAGGACGGGCTCTTTTGGTGTGCGTACTTTAGAAGACACTACAACGAGTTCACGTCAATAACGCCTCCACAACCTGTTTTGCCGGGTTCGCAATAACGTGCAATCTATAGTAAATCTAGAAACAAGCGCATGGCAGCTGTAGCTGTATTTTTGATGTGCGTATAGGTTCACCGTATGGTTGTACTAAAGCTCAGTATTGTAACTGAATAACCCAGATCAGCACTGGCCAACTGCAATATATATGAAAAGATGTAAGGCGTCCAAATATCCCGAATCTGCCGCTCTTGTCTGCGTAAAGCAGTACTGAATACGCGTAGGTTGGCGATCCACGATCGCAATGGAAACCTGCACAGCCTCGTATATGGTGTACGTTTCAATTGTGAACACTCCCTCGGCTGAAATAACTGCCTGTCTATCACACGGATTTTAAATGACGGCCCCGCGCACATGTTGTCCTTGGTGCGCTGAAGATCAGACAGAAGCATTATATAGTCTCTCCTGCGTGAACACGATTCTATAGAATCCAGCGCTGTACGAGGCTTCCAGTATATATAACACGTCTACATATATCGTAAAATGAGTAACAACTTAAGCTTCATCTAAATGGGCGATGCGAACTACTTTATAGAAATAAAAGCGTACACTGTTTCGAGCTCATCTTTGCTACATTGCTATCTGATTTATGGGAAACTTACGAACTTGTGCCTCTGTTTACTCTTGCAGTTCACTGACAGCGGCTGCAGTGTGCCACACTATAACACTGCAGGACAGGCACCATAATTATATATAGCCCACGAAGCTGTAACAACATTGTAGAGGGCCATTAAAGTGTACGTGTCGCGCGACTCCCCTAACTTGCACCTGGAAGCGCCGGCCGTGCTTGGTGCATGCACGACATCTATTGTAAAGCAAACCATTACTGTGGATGGAGTGCGTGGCACACAGCACACTGCTGGTGAGCCATAAAAACAACACGGGAGTGTACGAGGTCTCACTTGCAAGAGCATGCAGGCCTCATTATCTGGCAGCTATGAAATAATTTCTTTTTATCGTCGCGTCTTGCTAGCGTCCGCACTTGCGGCGAGAATGATGGTTTGGACCTACTTTCGGATGGCCGAAACGAAAATGGTGGTTTGGACCTACTGATTTATCGACTTCTCATAAAAAAGACGACTTATATATGACATCTTTCGGCTGATTTTACTCGATCATATAATTCGAAGGCGGGTCTCCAAAATACTCGTGCACGCACTGCATACATTACATAAAGACAGAACAGGAGTCGAATTCGCAAACACTCTTGTTCAAACTTGATGCCTACCATTGGCCGTCTCTTTTTGTTAGCTGTTCACTGCAGTTTTTTGCTTAGTTTTGCGAGTCTTTCCTGTGCAACAGGAAGACTGCGCTGCGATCGACTCATCCGTCATCATTCGTCGTGGAGAATGTAGATGCAGATGTGTCCTCCACATTCTTCACGTCGTGCAGTGTGTTCAGTATCACTATACTATCTAATGGTTCAGTTAAAGCAGTTTATAGATGAACACTAATACGTGGTTCCTTGTGTTTTTCATTACTAATTTATGCGTCAGAACCATGTCGTGACATTATGTGTACCATTATATAGAGGGAAAGAAATGGCATAACAGACAGAGCTCGTGGAAATGTGCTTTGTAGCACTCACCTAATTCATTAAATTGACACCAAATTGGACGTTTCTGACTATACTGCTGTGTAAATCTCCAAGAAGTCTTGCACAAACAGATCATGAGTCGAATTCGCCCAAGCCTTGTTCGTATACTGCACCCTATCATTGATTAGCCCCCTTCTCTTATAATAGAGCTGTCATTATTCCTGACTGACATTTCGCCCTTAGGAGCATATTTAGAGTAAGAATCATGTTTCTGTTTTTCTCTTCTCTCTCATCTTTTTATGTTTCTAGTTTCGTAACTGTGAGCCAAATTAGCATTTGGCCAATGTCCGGCAGTCTTTGCTAGTGTGTCCGTATAACACATTTAAAATATAGCAGTTATACTGCAGAAAAATGTCCATGTACCTACGAGTTCTTGCGCTAAAATTGTTCGCAAGAACAAATCATTGCCATTTTTCGTGATAGACGAGGTGGTTAGAGCAAATGGCAAATGAAACATATACGAATGAAAAACCTTTCCGAATTCGAGCTAGCGACCGCATATGCACAAAGCTCTTGAGCTAGTTTGTTTATATCACGGGGCCCTTCTTTTTGAGTATCGCAGTTTCCGTACGCGAAATTTACAAACTATCAAGCAACCATATCGTTACTTAGCGTCATCAGGTGTTCTTGTCACTGTCGTTGCATTTACAGCTGCGACGCATGGCATAGCCAGCTTCCTCGGCGAACGGTTCTGTGCTTTCTGAAAACGTAGCCTGGATGTCGGACCGATGGTCGTCGTTTTCGAAGTTCGTGAGTGCGTGTGCAGAGCGAAGTCAGGTGTGAATCTGGGATCACGACACTCCGAAAATGAGACAGCAAGAATACACGTGTGCGCAATGGATTCAACTCACTATGTGCGGCAGGCTGTCGCCCGGTGCCGTCCTTCTGCGCAGAGACGTGTTTGAGTTGGCGTCGCGGTTGTAAAATGAGCCGCAGAATGGGCACATGGCCCGCTGCCGCGTCGAAACCGCCGAAATGCGGCAAGCTGGGCAGGTGAGTGACACGGCCGACTCCCGGCCCCCCGCCCCGTACGCATCCATCACGCTTCTGGGGCAGCCGCCGGCGCAGCACGCCGCTGTTGCTAGCAACGGCCGTAACCATGGCGACTATCGCCGCGAGACACCCGGCTCTCGCTTCTTCCTTCGCCGCTGGTCCTGAGCTGTGCCAGGAAGTGACAGCCTCGTCCCAGTTTATAGGCATAGTCTGTACAGCGAAGCGCCTGCACTTATATTTCTTTTTTAAGTGTGAAAATCAGCGCGAAGCGTGGTTGCCTCGTTTCATCTCTATGAAGTCGATGTTGCCGGCAACATACATTAGCACCTTTAAACTTCATTGTACAAGCAGCACCCCGTACGTATTCGGAGCGATAAACGAGGCCTTGTAGTTCATGCATTGCGAGACTGCTTCCTATATGTCTGCAGCATAAACAGCAGCTACACTGCTGATTTAAGGCGCTGAACAACCATAATTCGACCATAAAACATCGCTTATGTTTCTATAGTAGTCTTTAACTCAAGGATAGACTTGAATTTTCACTAGGACGTACATGTGCTAAGAAATATTAGGGACACTTTTGCGCAGTGTATGTTTTCTGTCCTTAAGGCAAAGGAAACAGAGGCGTACTGTTTCCCGCCTGCACAGTTGAGTCTAATGTAGCTTTACCTGGAAGTCTAGGATTGAATAAGCCAAAAGCAATTAACACTGGAGTAAAAGTCGGCATGCACTGCGCGCCGGAACTAAAAACACGCATTTGTCTCACATAGCACAATTGGCAAAATCGGTTACTAGTTTTGTACGCGCATAAACCGTAACAGAATTTACTCAAGGCATATTACGTGGCGTTTTAATTTGTGCCTGCTTCTGCAGACGTGGTATGAATTAAAGTAGACGTGATCGAGTGCCCGGATGAAATCTGCGCAGAGGCGTCAAAACGGTTACAACGCCCCATGTACCGCTCGCGCTTCACACGGCCTGACCTTGCTGACCGAGTGAAGCCGAGTGGCGTGTCCGGACGTTCGGCGTCAGCGGTGTGCGACGAATGCGCCACGCACTGGCGGATGCGTAAAACATGAACAACCCTGGCGTGTATCGACCGCGCGGGCGTGATACGCGTGCCGATGGACGTGGCTTTCTTTCGCCTATCGCACTCTTGACGAACGTCTAATGGCACCGCGGCCAGCGGAACTAGTCTGCACGCTCGTTCGACTGCGCCAGATCACTCACGTTCGTTCCGTTCTGCGACCGCTTGAATAGTACAGCTGTATGCGGATCATTCTCTCTCTGTAGGAGTGTAATAAGGCAGAGCAGAGGTCGGAAATGTCAACGTCAGAAATACGCATGGGAAGATGCGGTGCACTGGGTAGGAATAGGAGACCGAGAAGATAAATTAACACGAGAGCAACAGCTCAAGACGGTACTGTAAGAAAACATCTGCGATGGTTGTTTCTATGTATCTTATATGGTTAATATAACATATAATTTGCATAAGCCCACCCAAATACGCCTGACTTAGTCTCAGAATCGAATTGGTTTGAGTAAACAGTGATGATGACAACCCTGTATACTCATTAAGGACATCTAAGCTCCTCCACGCCATCACGTTCACGCCTAAAAAAGAAGCTTAGATGTCCTTAATGATTTTGATATATTTACTTTGTTGGCGAATGCCTTAAGAGACAGAGGAAGGGACGGATCAACACAAGAGTTTTCTTGTTGACTCGGCATATAGCATTGTTTACGCACTTGAGAATTCCCTCAAGTTATTTTCTTTGGCTTTACCTTATGTAATGTTGGTGGCCTTAAGACGCCTCGAGTTACGCTAGCCAACTTCACGAAAGCAAGGTTGCAGTTAACTATACTATTGAACCTTTCCAGCCCTGGATTTTTTTATTTAGGGTGGATACAATTTTTGTGCGTGTTTTACTCGTAGTCAGGACCTCAGAAGACCACAAAGAAAAAATTGAGCCAGTGGTACAAGAATTTTTGGAGTATTCACGCGCCATCAAATTATGTCGTCTGGGCTCAGTGATTAGAAAATAAGAAAAATGACTTCTTTTTTTCTGCTAATCAGTAGTGTAACAAAATGGAAACAAATAGTTTACTAGTCAGACTAATAGTCACCAAAAAACAGCTTCGGTACATTGTTTCGAAAATGGCGCTTACCCACCTCACCTTATACGTGCCTCATCTTCACCGAAGACCTCGGTCACGCTTATTCTTCTTTGTGGCTGCTACCTCCAAAAACGTGCCCCAATATTGATGACCATTGCAGTGAGGATCATTGAATAACTATGCCCGCAATAATGAGCAGTATTGGTTACGTTCCCGAGGTACTGGGGGAAATGTTGTGCGGTGGTGTCAGTTGACCCTGCCAGAGCCGAAAGAGTTAAAAAAAAAGAGAGAAAAAAAAAAGAAACAGTGGCGACTATTTTTGAAGGAAGCTGTCATGTTGCAAGGGGCGTATATTATGGAGAGATGCGCTGGCAAATAGTGGTACGCTTCCACTGTTTTATAAACGCTTTCAAACCGTGGACAGGAAACTGTACACAGTTTTCAATATTAGCTAGTAAGAGTGTAGTGCATAACTCTTAATTTTGTTTCATTAAACAGATCGCATGTAATCACTAGAGGTTTCTTAAAATTCACCTCCGCTTTTTTTTTGCCTTGCGTTGACGCTCACATAAAAATACCAAAATAATGTGTTTCTTAATACTTGGTTTAGTTCTTGTAATATGGTTCATATTGTTTCTTTCACGATTATTGAAATTACAACGTTACTGCTCAAGGCAGAATGCTTACGAGAAAGCCCAGAAGAAAAAAAAGACATAAAAAGTTAGGAAAGTTGTTCACCTCTGCAGCCGGCTCGCATATTTGGGGATTTCTTGAGGCGAAACATTTGATACTGTGCGGGTCGCAGTGCCACAACCGCTAAGGTTAGAGCAATTATCCCTGTCATGCACCGGCATCTGCCTTTGCTAACGGTGCACTGAAAACGACGTCGGACCTTCGAGATAATGCTTTAGGTCGCATGCGTAATTCTTGCTACGACAAACACACTTGTCAGTGAGTTTGCCACTGAGTTTTAGTGTTGCGATGAAATCTTCATGAGCTCGTACGGTAAGAAATAAACGAAAGAGAAAAAGAGAGGGCGAGAAAGAGGACAATTTTATTGATTTCCGGTAGATTGCTGAGCTGGGTTTTCACTCATGAGCGAACGGAGAGACATGTTTTCTAGTAGCTTCCTTTGAGCTTTTGGATCGCCCAGCGTCTGGCCAGAACTGAGCAGAGCAGTCTATGAGCTCGACCAGCAAAGCGAAATGGTTAGAGCGATGAAACATGCCTACAATCAACGCAGCTCTGCTAACTTCTCCTGCAATACCGGTACCTTCCGAACGGCGTTATTGTTCGACAAATTTTTGCAATTTCAAAGTTTCGAAAAGCATACGTGTATATTCTTTTCAATGCTCATATTTCGATCGTGGTGCACGGCTAGAGTCTGAGCATGGCGCAAGGCTAGAGTCTGAGCATGGCTGTGACTCACTGCACTCGGATGTTGCAGGTTTGATCAGTGCGATCGAAATATGAGCATTGAAAAGAATACACACGCATGCTTTTCGAAACTTCGAAATTGCGAAAATTTGTCGAACAATAACGTCATTCGGAAGGTACTTAGCATGGATGTGACACAAGCGGCTCCTTGTTTCTGACAGCGCAAGTAATGACGATGGCGTAATATGTTTTCAAACCATCACCACGTTAAACATTTGGTTTCGTTCAGCCGCGATGACGCTACTCGCTAGCGGCCTACTTCTGCGGCAAATCCAACTGGCAGGCTTGGTCCATATGACCACGAAGTGCCGGTCAGTTCAAATGTCAATTATAGTTAGTGCAGTTTTTTGTAGCACGCACAGTATTTCGCAAAGCGTCGTTCATGCACGGTACTGGAGCTGAAATAAAACCTTTCAAAGCGCGACAAACATCCAGGTGGCGAGCTTCCATGGTTTCGGTAAGTGTCTTGGTCTCATATACGTTTCAGTGCAGCTCATGACTTTATTCGGTGAAAGTAACACGGTCCGTGTCCGCACACCCTATTTGTTCCTACGCGAATTACAAACGGTACAAACGGGCTGACCCTCCTCCTGGTGCCATATCTAATCATACAGTGTGCCACCTATAGTTCGTGGGATTGCGAATAAAAGTGCTCAAATAAGTACACTCGTTGATCTCTCAGTACTTGTTGCTGGGTTGGCGGCACTGAGTGAGACAAGCTGTTTCACCGAGCTAGGCTGCCCTTCACATGTCCCCACAGTTCAGCGTGGCGTCTAAAAAAGAAATAAATCAAAAGAGTGTGCTCGCCATAATGACTCGCAGTCCGCGCGTTGCACATACTGCACGGAGCTTACAGCAGCCTCCATCGTCCGCCAATGTTGTTTCTTCGTGATGCCTGCAGTTATTGCGGCACTCGCTCAGGTAAGCCTTAACGTGGGATTTGAAATTTGAAAACACCTTTTCAATAACATTAAAGAAGGGGCTGTATCAACAGCTTATTCAGGCAGTAGGTGGTGCTTGTGCAGGGTGACCACCACAGAATGGGTGACCATCGAGCAGTCCGTCACTGGTCGATGAGCTAAATTGTCGCCCTTGGTACATATCTGATAGACGTCATGACATATGCACCAGGATTTCAGGAATTCCATTTTTTCCCTCTTCAGTTCACAGGCCAACGTCATTATTGTCCAGGTCAGAACTGTCACGCCTTCGAGCACTGTTCGCCATATAGAGAGATGGAAAGAAGTGTTTTAAGAAACGGGACATGAAGGCGAATATTTTAACAGTTTTACCTGTTTGTTCGGGAAAATTTACCTCCCATCGTCTGCCCTGCCTCCACCCTCCCCCCACAAAAAACACTGCATTTAAGGCCATGACATTGGGACCAAAAGAGAAAAAGAATGCAGCAGTGTGATAATACTCTGATCATCATGCAACACAGAAAATATGGCAAGTTTCTCAAAACAAAATGCCCTCTCTTTTCTTTTTTTTT